TATAATTATTATTTTTAAGGCTTCATCAGACATTTTTGGGTTCAGGGATTTTGGCTTGCTTCCCATTCTTCCTAGTTTTCAATTTCCTTGTGGTGGGGATGACCAAGGGTTTGGCAGAAATGGGAAGCATTCAGAGTATGGAGACCATGCAAGACCTGCCCTCCTACCTGGATAGAGTGAGGATCCTAGAAAGCAAACTCTGGGAACATCTGGAGAAGGGACCCCAAATAAAAGACTGGGTGCATTACTACAAGATCATCAAGAGCTTTAGGCTCAGATCTTGGCAAATTTTGTGGTCAAATACCTGAATTCTCCGCAGATTTGCAACTTTCATCTTGCTGTTGAGAATATTAGAGTCAATTATGAGACAGAGATGGCCATGTGCCAGTTGATAGACAGTGACATCCAGGGGCTCCTCAAGGTCATTGATGACACTAGTATCACTTGACTTCAACTAGAGGAAACTGAGGCTCTAAAGGAGGAGGAGTTGTTCATGAAGAAGAACCACGAGGAGGCATGGTCTTCAAGGTTACATTGCCAGCTGTGGATTGACCACAAGGTGAATGCCCCCAGATCTTAGGACCTTAGCAAGATCATGACAGACATCCAGGCCCAGTATGATGAACTGGCTCAGAAGAACTGAGAGGAGCTGAACAAGTACTGGTTCCAGGAGATCAAGGAGAGCACCACAGTGGTCACTTTGCAGTGTGCTGAGATTGGAGCTGGTGAAATAATGCTCACAGAGCTGAGATGCCCAGCCCAGTCCTTGGAGATCCACCTGGATGCCTTGAGAAATCTGAAGTCCAGTTCAGAGAACAGTCTGAGGGGCATGTAAACTTCCTACACCTTCTGTATAGAATAACGTAATGGGGTCTTGCTGCATCTGGAACCAGAGCTGGCATAGATACAGGCAAAAAGGCAGACCAGACCCAGGACATACAAAACTCTGCTGAACATCAAGGTTAGTCTGGAGGCTGATGTTGCCCCTTCCCACTGCTTGCTGGAAGTCAGTAAGCACTTCAGTATCAATGATGGCCTACACAGCAGCAACTTTATGCGAAATATTAAAAGGACTGCCACCTGTGGGATTGTAGACCCCACAATGGTGTCTGAGACCAATGATACCAAAGTACTGTGTCACTGAGGAAGCAAAAGCAGGGAACCCTTGGGTAATAGGAAACAAACAAAAAATGGTCAGAGATCACCAGAGAAAACAGTAAAAACTGTAGGCAAAGATATAAATAAATTGTATAGTGTCATACAGATATAATATGGTGCCACCACTGGTAAAGAATGTGAAGGTTCCTCAAAAAATAAAAAAAATTATAACTACAATATGATGCATGAATCTTACGTATGGATATACATTCAAAGGATTCGATCAGGATCTTCAAGACATACTCATTTTCACAGTAGCAATTAAGTACAAGAGTTGTACAAAACAGTGAAATTTGTCATGATAGAATGTGAATCTTGATTCTCTGCCTTGCTAGCTATGTGACCTTCTATGTACCTCACATTCACCTATGAAATGTAGATGTACTGATGGCTCACATCAGAGGACTGTGAAAACTGAATGAGAACAATCTATGAGAAGCATATAGCAGACTTTAACAAACATAACCAACGTTGGACCTTTTATTTTCCTTTCAGGATGCACTGTTTATCATTACTCTGATATTTAGTTATTCTCTGAAGACTTGAAGAGACAAAGACACTTTATTCACTAAGCATCTTCTGCAACCTATATTGTAGAAAGCCCCAGAGGCAGGGTGCAGGGATGAACTAGTCTCAGGAGTCAGTGTTTGGCTGCTCAGCTGAGATAAAGGAAAAATGGTTATGGAGGGAATAGGTGGAATAACAGAGTATCTAGCAGGGAAAGAAGGTTCCCAGGGGGAGGTAGTAAAGGACAATAGTCATCATTACTCTATATTGTCATCTTTGATCTCCTTGGCTTGCTCTTCTCCTTCTGAAGAGGCCTTGTATAAATCCTCCCTCTATTGGGTGTCAGAAATGTGGACTACCAGACATAGACGATCAGAGAAAGTTGAATAGAGAAAACTTCCGGGATGCGGATGATTGACCTGGGGATTGAAGGTTGGGTTGATGGAGTCTTAAGGCCAAGGCTACCCTGGAAAGAGGATTCAAGTGGAGAACACAGTTATAGACTACTCTCCAGGTCTGGAAATACTGCCAAAACCAAGAGATTCTTTAGGAAATGATGGGAGGATGAAGAATGTGGGAGAGGGGACAGGAACATAGGACAACTTTGGTTGAAAGCAGAGACAATATGAGGTAAGTCTAAACTTGGGATGGTGGACAGATATATTTTAGGTCTCAGGATGAACTATGAGAAAAGCAACCAAGGTTAGGGATAATTGGGAGCTCACTGGGATGAAGAGTAGAGGTTCAGGGTTATATAAACAGAAAGGCTCCATTAAAATGAATTATGCATTAGTATTTCAACTTTAAAGAAAATTTTGAGTCATGAATTTCCCATCCTTAAAATAGGAATGAAAATCTCATATATCATATGAGTTCCTATTGATTTAAATGACTTCTCTAAGCTAGATTTTAGTGACCCTCTGGGTCTTCATGTGAGTATCTCTTTAGGGTTGAAGTCAGAGGTGAGAACAGAGCTGGAAATGTGCTTAGGAGAGGTTGGCCAGAGCTTTCTGAAAAGAGAGACCTCAACATCAAGGAAGCATTGTGTCTGAATCTTGACCTGGGTAGTGGCTTTGCAAGTGTGTTCATATGTTTACATTATGATGCTTTATCATGCTGTATACCTTTAATTTCTACTTCTAAATGTATGCATGTCATGCTTCAAAGAGTTGACCAAATTATAAGGGAGAACTCAGTGATGTTATAAGAAATTACTGGACTGGCAACAGATCTTTGATGGAGCTCACTGCTGATCTTAGCATGAGATCTTAGAAAATTTTTAGTGGCAATAGGTTGGGTAAAATAAAAACTTTAAAAGATAAAACTGACCCAACCAAATGCCCTGTTCTTAAGGAGAATTAAGACACTGGTGAACCTCTAGCAGTGCTGATGAAGATCAAAAGTATACAAAGAGGGAAAAAAAAAAAAACAAAAACACTCCAAAGATCATAAAAGGAATGTCCACTGGGTAGGGCTGGAGAGAGGAAGGATGGGGTGGGGCATAAACTGTGGCTGCCCTCAGAAGAAAGGTGTGTTTACACAGAGCATTACACAGGAGGGGAGGACCTGGATCAGAGGTGGGTGGAGAAGTAGGCATTCTGAATCCTCTGCTCTTCTCCAACTGTTCAGGCAGTGAGGCTCAGCTCTAAATTTGTGGCATTCATCATTCACATAGCAGACTTAAGGACATCCAGATATTTTCTTTTTCTACTTGTCACCAGTATTCTTCTTTCAAAGCTTTCCCCTGTCTTCTGATCTATCACTGAAAGCATCTCATCATGTGGTGGTACACAGCAAGTTTTTCATGACCTGCTCTGAAGAGATCATTATTTCATTTAGTCTGCCCTATCATATAGCATTTATTTATTCTTAAGGGTTTTTGTGTTGTTATTTGTTTGAGGACCATAGTTTGAATTCAGGTCTCAGAACTGGGCTTTTTAGAGAACTCCTGAGGACTCCCCACAAGGCTCCTGAGGGCATCTGGGCATGGAGTCATCACTGATCAGCCCTCCAGAAGCAAATGGAAGGGGCAAGTGTACACCATATGGTTGGGATGCTGAATCAGGTGAATGTCTGTCTAGGGCCTGGCTCACAGGGAAAATGTCTACTGAAGCAGAACTGCATCAGCCTGATCTATCCAACTATTCAGTGAGGGGCCAGGCCCCTGAAGAGAATTAAACTTGAGTGAGTGGATATAGTTAATATCCAAGGGTAAGGATGTGGCAACTTCTCAACCTGGAAATCATTTATTACGGGGAGGTACAGGAAGTGACAGCTGAAGTCAGGCTATTATTATTGGCAAATAAGCCTCCATCATTGAAGCTTGCCTGGAAATATAGGAAACACTTCTTGGATTAGATCTGACTACTGTAAATCAACACAATTGATGTGCTGACTCACTGAGCTGAGGCCTTGAGAGTTACAGTTTTAGGATAATGAGGGTTTGCCACAATAGATCAAATGGACATAAGATGTTATGATCCACACTTGAGATATTAGATCTAGTTCTGGGACTGAGATACTTGCCCATTTCTCTGGGGAGTGGAATGATCTGACAGTAACTGGAAAACAGTTGAAACATCACTTCAGTTTGAATCAAAGATGCTCATATTGCCCGCTTCCATTTTATCTTTAATTTCATTTTTAAAAAAATGGCCATAGCGGTGTCAACCACTCTTACCAAGAATTTGTTATTAGAGATAGGTTATAAGTAAATGTAAAATAAATTGTCACAGAATTGACCATTTTTTTAAAAAAAGCAATCAAGCAAGCAAACAAAAAAACTAAGCTTGAAAGCTAGCCTATAGATGAACAGAGAATGACTTCATAATGAACCTTTTAGGTTTACCCCACCAGGTCATCTCAGTTAAATAACATGGCAACACCTGAATGAGGAGATGTAAGACAGATATGGAAATGAACTGAAATTTCCAAGTGTTGGAGCTCAGATTCTGGATGTGCACATGGGTAGCTTTTTCCTTATCAAAACTATCCCAGGTGTACAATGAATCAAAATGCATTTTGCTATTATATATAACTAATTACAATAAATTAATTAAAAAAAAACTGTCCCAGTGAAGCCATAACAATTTTTTGGATAAGTATCCATAATTATTCACCTGATTATAACTGTATTTACTTAATTCAACTCCTCGAATCACAATTGGAAAGACCTAGACTTTAAAATATCTTAAAATAGCAATTATACAATAAATTTATCTTAGATGAAATAGCTTATGTTTTGTCGACTATGAGGTATGCATGTTTGTTCTATATTATACGTCACTAATACTACAGTGTGAAACAAATATTATAAGACTATATCATTTTTTTAGATGAACAGAAAAGCATTCTCACCTGTGATGCTGGGGCCACCCTATAACCACACAATGGAAACCCCTGCCACCTTCTTCCTTGTGGGCATTCCAGGCTTGCAGTCTTCACACCTTTGGCTGGCTGTCTCACTGAGTGCCATGTACACCACAGCCCTGGTAGGAAACAGCATCATCATGATGGTAATTTGCATGGATTCCACTCTACGAGAGCCCATGTTTTGCTTCCTGTGTATTCTGGCTGCTGTGGACACCGTCATGGCCTCCTCTGTGGTCCCTAAGATGGTGAGCATCTTCTCCTCAGGACACAGTTCCATCAGCTTCCAGGCCTGTTTCACTCAAATGTACTTTGTCCATGCAGCCACAGCTGTGGAGACAGGGCTGTTGCTGGCCATGGCTTTTGACCGCTATGTAGCCATCTGCAAGCCCCTACACTACAAGAGCATTCTCACACCCAGAGTGATGCTGGGGATGAGTGTGACCATCACCATCAGAGCTATTATATCCATGACCCCATTGAGTTGGATGATTAGTCATCTACCTTTTTGTGGCTCCCATGTGGTTCCCCATTCCTATTGTGAGCACATGGCTGTGGCCAAGTTAGCATGTGCTGACCCCATGCCCAGCTGTTTCTACAGTTTGATTTGTACCTCCATTATTGTTGGCTCTGATGTAGTCTTCATTGCTGCCTCCTATACCTTAGTTCTCAGGGCAGTGTTTGGTCTCTCCTCAGAGAATGCTCAGTGGAAGGCATTAAGCACATGTGGCTCCCATGTTGGGGTTATGGCTTTGTTCTACCTACCTGGGATGGTATCCATTTATGTAGCCTGGCTAGGACAGGACTCAGTTCCTCTACACACTCAGGTGTTGTTAGCTGACTTGTATTTGGTCATTCCACCCACCTTGAACCCCATCATCTATGGCCTGAGGACAAAACAACTACGGAAGAGAATAATGAGTTTGTTGATGTTCTTCCTCTTTCACCATCCCAGTCAAGGTGAATGACACACAACTGTTCATGCCTTGAGCAATTCATCTTCAAAGATGCTTTAGTAATCTATGGAGGTGAATTGTTTGCTTAGCACCTCAAGAATTGTAAGATGAAGCTGTAAAGAGCATCCTTGCATAGATTTAATTTCTAGTAAGAATATCAATGAAATGTTTTGAGCAACTAATAAATTTCTGATGTTTTTTAAAAAAAGAATATCAATGAATTGTGCTGCTATAAACATTGATATGCCTGTATCACTATATTATGCTTATGTCAGTTCTTTTGGATAAATACCCAGGAGGGGGATAACTGGGTTGTATGGTGGTTCCATTCCTAGTTTTATGAGGAACCTCCATACAGCTTTCCAGTACTAATTTGCCATTCCACTAACAATGTATGAGTGTATCCTTCCCCCACATCTTTGCCAGTACTTATTATTATACATATCCCCAATGAATACCATTCTAACTGAGTGAGATGAAATTTCAATGTAGTTTTTATTTGCATTTCCATGATTGCTAGAAATGTTGAACTTTTTTTTTTTTTTCATTTGTTTGTTGGATATTTGTATTTCTCCATTTAAGATGTGTCTGTTTAGTCCATTTGCCCATTTCCCTCCCCCGCTTTTTTTGCAGGGGTGGGGTGGGAAGTGGTAATTGAACCCAGGAGCAATTAACCACTGAGCCACATTCTTGGCCCTTTTTATTTTTCATTTTGAGATAAGGTCTCACTTGAATTGCTTAGGGCTCGTTAAATTGCTGAAGATGGATGGCTCTGAACTTGCAATCCTCCTGTTTCGGCATCCTGAATTTCTGGGATCATAGGCATGTATCACCATGCTCCACTATTTGCTTATTTTTGATTAGATTATTTGCTTCTGGGGAGTTTGTTTTTTGAGTTCTTTGTATATTTTGGATACTAATCCCCTCTGGGAGGAGCAACTGGCAAAAATCTCCCATTTTTTATGCAATCTTTTCATACTTTTTTTTCCTTTTCCATACAGCTTTTTAATTTGATGCTGTCCTGCTTATTGTTTCATCGTTTTATTTCTTGCACTTTAAGGGTCTTGTTAAGAAATTCAGGGCATGTGCCAATATGTTGGAGTGTTAAACCTATATTTTCTTCTAGCAGTTGCAAAGTGTTGGTCTAATTCCAGGGTCTTGATCCACTTTGAGTTGATTTTTGTGCTGGGTGGGATATGGGGATCTAGTTTCATACTTCTCCTTAGGAATATTCATTTTCCTTTAAAAAGGCTGTCTTTTCTCCAATGTATGGTTTTGACACATTTATCAAGTAGCAGGTCACTGCATCTATGTGGATCTGGCTCTGTGTCTTCTATTCCATAGGTCTTCATGTATGTTTTCATACCAATACCATTTCATTTTTGTTTCTATAGCTCTACGGTATAATTTGAGGTATTATTCTGCTTGCTCAGGATTGCTTTGGCTATTTTGGGTCTCTTATTCTTTGAGTTGAATTTTAGGATTGTTTTGTTTTTCTAGTTCTGGGAAGACTGTCATTGAAATCTTGATGGGGATTGCATTGATGTATAATGTATAATGCTTTTGGTAGTATGGTCATTTTGACAATATGAATCTGCCTATCCAAGAACATGGGAGGTCTTTCTATTTTCTAAGGTCTTCTTCAATTTCTTCGTTCAGTGTTTTATGTTTTCATTGTAAAGATCTTTCACCTCCTTGGTGAGATTTATTCCAAGTATTTAATTATTTTTAGATCATTGTGAATTCAATATTGCTGATTTATGGATCCAGCCCAGGTTCCAGTCAATAGATGAATGGGATAAAGATAGCATGTGATAGATCCATAATGGAGTTTTACTCAGCCATAAAGAAGAATGAAATTAATGGCATTTGCTTGTAAATGGATGAAACTGGAGTATATCTTGCTAAGTGAAATAAGTCAGATTTGGGAAGTCAAAGGTCAAAGGTTTCCTCTTATGTAGAGAAGCTAGACCAAAATGAGGACAAAAATGGGGGATACCATGATCCTCAAAGGTATATAAGAGGATTAGAATAAGGGATACAAAGGGAAGGAAGAGGGAATGATAAGGAAGTACTAGGGACTGAAATGGAGCAAGTCATGTTCCATGCATATATTATTATGTCAAAATGAACCCCAACATATGTATAACTGTAATGTGCTAATAAAAACATAAAAGGAATGACAATAAAATGATTCTTATTTCTGATACCTGTTTAGATAGGGTTATACAGAGAATATAGATTTGGTATTTTTGTTCCTTTATTTCCTGTTCAATATTTCCAACCTAATATCCTGTGAGTCTTTCTGCTGAAGAAAACAACTTTTTGCACTCTTCCATCAACACCTATCTCATTTTCTTTTTCTTTTTTAATAGTATTTAAAAATTTTTTAAAATAAAAATGTAATGCATTACAATTCTTATTACATGTATGCAGCACAATTTTTCATATCTCTGGTCATATATAAAGTATGTTGACACCAATTCATGTCTTCATACATGTACTTTGGATGATGATGTCTATCACATTCCACCATCCTTGATAATCCCTTTCCATTTCCCTTTCCCTCATTTGACAAAATATAGCACTCTTTCATGTTCAAAACACTAGAAAAACTAGAATAAGAGGAACATATCTCAACATCATAAAGGCTATCTGTGCTAAGCCTCAGGCCAACATCATTCTAAATGGAGAAAAGTTAAAGGCCTTCCCTCTAAAAACTGGAACAAGACAGGGATGCTCTCTTTCACCACTTTTATTTAACATAGTTCTTGAAACACTGGCCAGAGCAATTAGATAGACGAAAGAAATTAAAGGATATGTATAGGAAAAGAAGAACTTAAATTAGCATTATTTGCTGATGATATGATTCTATACCTAGAAGACCCCCAAACCTGTCTCATTTTCTTAGAATTGTTGCAGCCTTCATGTTATATGGAAGAAGCTGTTACTCTCTGGCCCTAACTTGGGTCATGTGTTCACATGCAGAGAGGAGTCCCTTTCTAGTCTGAGTGAATTCTGGTTTATCTGAGGGTTATAATCTTGAGATAAAAAATGGTGGCAATTCTTCAACATAGAAACTTGGAAAAAGAAATCTGAACCATAGGAAGAACATCCAATTACTAGTATAGGATGCAAAGAATGTTTATTTTGCTGTTCTCTGGTTCCAGTTCACTTTGGACACCAAGGTACACCTCTGTTATTAACTTCTGTAAGAGCTCTACATCCTTTCAGACTTTTGTCAGTACACTGAATTTAGTATGCTGACTTTCAACATTTTGTTCTTAAACAATGGTAGCCATGTCAATGTGATTTTTGGTTTAGGCCATACTTCATTTTTCTTTCTAGTCCTTGTCTGGTTTAAGGACAGAAGAGAGGGATCAAATATAAGCGAGGGCTTTGTTCTGATGGGCACCTCTCAGGATCTTTCTGGGATGAAAAGATTAATTGACATCCATATAGAAAAAGAAACTGAAATGTCACTATTTTCTTTCTAGGTACCTGGATGCTTACATTGTTTTTGCTTTTATTTCATTCTATATTCTTCTTTAAGAAAGTCTTAAACTGTGTACTCAATATTAAAAGAAAAAGAGCTTTGATGAATTATGAGTTCTGGGAGTTTTTTGGTGGAGATTTTTGGTCTTCTAAATATAGAATCATACCCTTGCAAACAAAGTTAGTTTGAGTTATTCTTTCCCTATTTGTACCCCTTTAATTTCTTTCTATTGCCTAATTGCTCTGACTAGAGTTTCAAGGACTATGTTGAATAGAAGTGGTGAAAAAGGGCATTCTTGTTTTATTCTTGTTTTAGAGGGAATGTTTTCAGTTTTTCTCCATTTGGAATAATGTTGGCAGTGGGTTTGTCACATAGCTTCTACAATGTTGAGGTATGCTTATTCTATCTCTAGTTATTCCATTGTTCTAAACATGAATGGATGTTGTATTTTGTCAAATGTTTTTTCTGCATCAGTTGAAATAGTCATGTGGTTCCTGTCTTTAAGTGTGTTTATATGATGTTCTACATTTATTCATTTTTATATGTTGAACCAACCATGCATCCCTGGGATGAAACCCACTTGATTGTGGTGCTGTATCTTTTTTTTTTTTTTGGTACTGAATATTGAACCCAGGGGCACTTAACCACTGAGCCACATCCCTAGCTCATTTTTTATATTTTGTTTATGGCCAGGGTTTAGCTGAGTTGCTTAGGCCCTCACTAATTTGATGAGGCTGACTTTAAACTCATGATTTTCCTCCCTCAGCCTCCCAAGCTGCTAGTATTACAGGCATGCACCACCATACCTGGCTGCAGAGTCTTTTTAATGTGTTTTTGTATGCAATTTTAGATAGGGCATTAATTTCCAGGATATACAAAGAACTCAAAAAACTTAACACCGAAAAAAAACCCCAAATAATCCAATCAATAAATGGGCAAAGAATTGAATAGACATTTCTCAAATAAGAAAAATGATAGATCAACAAACATATGAAAAAATGTTCAATACCTCTAGCAATTAGAGAAAGGCAAATTAAAACTACATTGAGATTCTATCTCACTCCAGTCAGAATGGCAATTATCAAGAATACAAGTAAGGGCTGGAGTTCTAGCTCAGTGGTAGAGAACTTACCCAGCACAGGTGAGGCACTAGGTTTGATCATCAGCACCACATAGATACAATACCTTTATTTTATTTATGTGTTTTTATCTACAATTAAAAAAAATTCAAAAAGAAAAAAGAAGACATAACAACCAATGTTGGTGAGAATGTGGAGAAAAGGGAACACTCATATTTTGCTGGTGGGACAGCAAATTGATGCAGCCGCTCTGGAAAGCAGTATGGAGATTTCTCCCCAAAACTAGGAATGGAACCATCATTTGACCCAGTTATCCCACTCCTTGGCATAAATTAAAAAATTAAAATCGGCCTACTACCGAAGAAGAGCCATACTGATGTCTTATAGCAGCACAATTCCCAATAGCTAAGCTATGGAACCAACCTACATGCCTATCA